GGTTAAGACAGTACCCCATCAAAGTAATAGACTCTATAACAGCAGTATGGTTCCAACAGGTGACGCCCGTCTATGTTTCCACCAGGGAGGGAGTGGGACAGTGGGTAGAATGAAATGCTTTTATCGGCTAAAGAAAGGGAAGTTACATGAGATGTATTGTCAAGGTCTCATACGTTTCACAGTGGCGTTGTAATGACTCTTTCTAATTTAAAAAAAAATCATTTCGAAATAATGCCATACTTGTTAGAAATGATGCGGGTGGTCACTGGAAAAGGTGGGGGGGGGGGTCTATTTATTTTAGAAAAACATCTGCGTCATAGATTTGAAATATGATAATAATATTTTAGATTGTGCGTTCTGGCGAAGGTCTGGGTCACTGTGGAACGCACCATTCGGCTCAGTCTGGAGCCGAAAGAAGGGCGGGGGTAGTGCCCCGTGCACTCGACTTCAGCGAGACTAAAAATTGTTTTGACTTTCATTTGGATGTCCATGGTTCAAGTACGAGAAAGAAGAAGAAGGAAGTCCATGGTGCGCATCCTTCGCAGTGGAGTTCTTAAAGAGAGTAAAAAGTAGCGGCCATGACAGTGAACAGTCTATGATATAATACAAGTTCTATGGTTCGTGTACAAGTTTGTTGACTTTGAGATCACCAATTTTCATCCTTCCTCTTTGAGACATCTGCATTACATGAAAAGGGCTCAATTGGTGTTAAAGAAAAATAGACAAAAAGAAACAAAGGAACTGGGCCAAAGTATAGCATCTCGTTTGTGTGGGTAGGAAGAAGCCCACTGACGCCATAAAGGTCATTTAGTGCTGGGGAAAAGTAAGACAGGGGGGAAGAAAAGAAGTAAGATCTACCAGTGATACCTCCCCCAACCCCCACTCACTTGGCATCTTGAGAAGCGCTAACATTGTTCAGTGAGACATTAATATTAGGACAGCATACCATGGGGCGCATCTACCGGCGTCTGTTGTGATGCGGTTAAGCGTTGCGCTGTCGCACGCCGGAGACCCGAGTTCGATTCCTGAGAGGGGAGAATTTTATCGGGTATCCCGGTCTATGTGCTGGAATGGTGTGGTGTATCCCTCTATGTCTGGTTGGCCCTGAAGGCAGGGTCGGAAGACCGCCTTTTACATGTAATCTAAATTCTGTTCATGGGAGCGTAAAAACACTTTTTTATGTCGGTGCATTTTGCGTAATAAGCGTGCATTTGTAGGTTTGTAAATGGGTAATGAATTCAAGGTGAAGAGAAAGTGTATTCAAAGAGGTAATGTTCTGAAATGAGTCCGTTTACAGCTTTCCTGCAATAGGTTAAGCTATTGAGATACGCTACTCTCTTTCTTCAGTATAGCCACGTAATATCATAGTCAATCAAGGTTCTCTCTTTTCTTTTTTTCTAAAAAGATGTTCACAAAGTAAAACCAATTTCGTAAGATTCGGCTGCCTTTCCGTTCCCTATTTAATCTCTCTCTCTCTCTCTCTCTCTCTCTCTCTCTCTCTCTCTCTCT